CTTATGACTTTGTTTTAGTGTTTATATTGTAAATACGAGTTAATAATAAATGGAATACAATATAACAACTTGATTCAGCCAGTCACACTGATCACTCATGTGTATTCGCAGGTTTTGATTGCTCGTGGAAAAGATTGAGTCCCCATTCACACCGAAGTACAGAGGGAACGCACAACATGTTCGCGCACGTTAGCTTCCTGTGTTTGCCGCGCGTCCCTGTTGATTTCAATGGGTTCCTGTATGCGCACCAAACGCAGAAGAGTAGTGCACGTAGCAAGATCTGCGACATGCATTCAGTGCCATCACAAGGGGGGTGCGGCCTGCACCCGGGTGTTACCCCCCTCTGAAAAGTCGGGCAAGATGGCCGTCGGCAGGTAACAGCAGTACCACACGTGACGTCATCATGCGCATGTGCACCGAGTGTCACCCGCCTCTGCATGCATTCCACATTTTTGTCTTCCCAGTTTGCACACATTTTAACATGCGCAAACACAGGGGAAAACGTGCATCTTCCCAGCCGTGTTAGGAGCGCCATTGGCTGGTAATGATCATACAGCAAGTGCGTTTTGCATTTTTGACGCATTTCACGAATGCGCATCAAAGTGCCCCTCTGTGTGTGTGTTTAATTCCCGTTCAGGAGACACTCAGGTGTGAATGGGGGCTTTGAACATGTAGATTTTTTTTGGTAGAATGAAGGCTCCATTCACACCTGAGTATTTTGCATACGTGCGTCAAAAGTGCAAAAAAAGCGTGCTTTGATGCGCACTTGCCAAATGTGTAAAAAACTAGATCACTGCTTCATCCGGTTCTTTGGTGTCTATAGGTGACATTAAAGGTCTAATAGATCCCTGATGTCTCCATAAAGAGGACCTGTCACTGTATCTGTGTTATCACATAGGGGACTTATTAGCCTCTTATGTAATAGCAATAAAGCTATGTGTAAAAAAATAAATAAAATTAAAGTCATCTAAAAAACTAAAACAAAAAACACAATTTTTTTTTAGTCCCTCCCCCCCCACGTACACTCACATACAAACACAAACAAGCATCGGGTCCACCTACACGCGAAAACGATAATAGCGCCTAACACGTTACATACCACCGTGAATCAATCACTGTTAACACCATCAGATCAAACGAATACCAGTGCCCCTTATTCAACAATTCAGCGCACCATAACACAGGGTATGCACCTTGTCCTATACTGTACAATGTGTTGGCTTGCCATTCACAATAAATGCCATCACCGCACACCGGTGCATCGCCATGCGTTGTGGTTAAAGGGTCTGCGTATTTCTGCAATGCGTGAGTCTGATTGGGCGCTCAAAGTTTATTAAAAAACAAACCCTTTACATTTTTTTTTATCAGCGCTGTGTATCAGAAACAATTGTTTTCTTTATTAAAATGCTCGTTTTAAACCTTTATTTGATGCTTTGTGCTGCTGATCTCCTGCAGCCCTTAACAGCCACGTCCTGTCTGCATACATGTACCCCAGCAGGTATTTCACATATTTGACAACACAGACGTGTATGGACAGAGTAACACGAAACCGGTGTCGTAGCTCACAGCTGTAAACACGTTCTAAGGTGTGACTTGGCCTTTAAATCTCTAAAACACTCATCGGAAATCACTGGCAGGTATCTGACATCCCAACTCTAACCACACCCCCATCATCACACGGACACGCCCCTCTCATCATCATTGCCCCACAAAGCGCACAGTGCTGCCCCTCGCAGTCACATGGACACGCCCCTTCCGTTGATATTACACCCCACACAGCGCAGTGCTGCCACGCCCATCAACACATGGACACGCCCCCATCATATCAACACACTGTGTTGCCCCTCCCAATATGGCCGTTCCCGCATTACGCTGCCCGGTAGCTGCGCCCCGGCGCGATGACGTCACGGCCAGTGCTCCACGCCCCTTGCGGTGACTCCATTTTGTGCTAGTGGACGAAGCTGCTGCTTCTAGTTCCGGGTTGTCGGAGCCCGGGGAGAGCGGAAAGTGGAGGGAGCTGCGGAGAGAGGGTGAGGATGAGGCTGGTGGTTGTATAAAGCGGGGTGCTGACTCAGTACTGTGTTCCCTGACGTTGTGTGCAGACATGTATGTGCAGAGAATGGGGGCAGGTACGTCCTGCACACTGGCCTTTAGTTAGCTGCTGTAATGACACACATGATCTGTCAGTCTCTGTGTGTGCTGGCACCTGTAGTTCTACATCAGCTGGGGGCTGCACCATGTACCTTCATTGTGACCTATATGGGGCTCATTGAATGAAACAATGCAGTAACCCATAGCAACCAATCAACACCTGCTTTCATCATAATGACAGCTGATTGCTCCTGTGTAGCCATAGTGTATGTTGTATTGATATCTGCTGAGGGACCACAAATCCCAGCATGGTATTCCAATCACTGTATGCTGGTCTCTTTGTGAATGACTCTGATAGAAAAGTCTCATCATTTCCATGATTTATAGCTGATGAGGAACTACAAGTCCCAGCATTACAGAGCTGGCGCCTGTATACTGGGGATTTTATTTTCCATTTGTTAGAGCTAGACGGGTGATTGGTGATAATTGAAGTGTATCTAAATCCTAAATTGTTAGTCTTGGATAGTGCGGTGAGGGATTAGTAACTCTGCGTGGAGTAACTCACGCTCACCCAAGTCTATACAAAACTGTCACTTCCTTGTCCAATCCGCTGCGGCCGGGGTATTTCTCAGGTATTAAAGGGGTAGGGAATGCCCTGGCTGCAGCTGATTGGCTCGGGGAGGCCCACGCACATTACTAGTCGCCATTAGGGAGATGCACCCTCTATTTGTCCTGGTGACCACCATCACCTGGGACGAAAGGTAGGGAGAAGCCAAACTTTTAGGTTGTCACTGGAACGGGAATAGAGGGGAAATCTTCCAATGAGGGCACCTTGTTTTGGTGATTACGGTCTAAGACACATTAAAGAGATTTCTTCTCACTTCCTGTTGTGTTTACAGCACCGGAAGTGAAGAAAATCTCCTTAACAGGGCACAGAGGGGTTAAAAAAATGTCGTCATTTCCTATTGTATCCAAAATAAAATGTGACTTTTGTTAAGGGTTGGTGGACACTGATGTGTAATTGAAGGATCATTGTACTTATTGTACTTCTCCAATATTCTAAGATTTATACTCCCCACAGTCCTGCGAGAGTTGTAATGTGCGGCCCGCAGAGCGTCCAGTCACTCCTTGTGAGCATACACAATGAGAATTCCAGTCATTCCTATGGAGAGGTTGTCTGTTGTGTCCCCCATGATAGACAGCTGCTCCCCGGGAATGAATGAGATTCTGTCTGCACATGTGCAGTAGATGCCAGCGACTGGCTGGAGAGTTTTCAGTGATGGCTGCTGGAGTGTAAACCGGGGGGAGGGGGGGGGGGGGGCACACAATCTACTTTCAGTGTATAATGGTGTTTGTGGTTTCTCAAAGTGTAACTCCACTTTTGTTGAGGGAAAAAAAATCTCCAAGGGGAGAGAAGGAGGAGGTATAAAGGACAGAATCTCCCCTTGTCCATTCACAGAACACATTAGTGATGCAGATTTCTATGAATGGAGGAGGGGGATGTAAAGGACGGAATCTCCCTTTGTCCATTCACAGAACACATTAGTGATGCAGATTTCTATGAATGGAGGAGGGGGGTGTAAAGGACGGGCTCTCACTTTGTCCATTCACAGAATACATTAGTGATGAGGATCTCTATGAATGGAGGAGGGTTGTAAAGGACGGAATCTCCCTTTGTCCATTCACAGAATACATTAGTGATGAGAATTTCACTGTATTATACCTGGAGCTGTCAGTCAGTCTGAACTCACGGGCGACAGTATTATCCGCCATGTATATAATCTAGCATTTATGGCATCCCCAGCTGCCATTCGGACAAAACTCCATGTCAGAGTGTTCTTAACCCTTGAAGTGGGACTGCCCCTGCACTGTAACGGTTAACTGCTCATTGTTTTTGTGGGTGTTTAAAAAAAAAAGTTATACTCGCCCGATCCTCGGAGATGGCTGGCTGCTACTCTGGTCTCTGAAACCCGTCTCTCCCTCTGCTGCAGTAATGGTATGTCCCTTAGCATACTCATCATGTCCTATACACTGTATAGAAGGTGATGACTCGGGGATCCTTAAACTGCTGCGGGGGGGGCGTAGAGAGGCTCCAGGGACCGGCTTAAGAGCAGACCATTAAGAAGCAGGGGTGGCCCCACTGCAAGGGTTAAGAACGGTTTAGCCCGGAGTTCTGATATAACAACATTAGAGAGAGCTTCTCTGGACCAAGAGAAATGTGGCCCTTGAAGGCCCTTCTTTTCCCTGGATCTCCACTTTAACATGGCGGCTTTTAGTACAATATATGTATCCTCTCTGTGGTGTACTAAATGGGGCCACATAGTCATTTTGGGGCAGTCATGTCATTTCCATGGAGCTTCCTGGTATGCGCCTCATAACGTCAGGCGAAGGCGACTTTCATCTTACACTTCTGACAAAGGTATTTTTCTTCATATTTCCATTAACTGCGGAGGCCAGAGAATATGGGTCGGCAACCATGCACATTCAGACTGATACTACAAACCCCATCATATGTCTGGCTCTGGGAGTCAGGGCTGTGGCTGTCAGTCTTGCAATGCCTCATGGGATTTGTAGTTTCACCCCCCATGTAGTGGCAAGGTTACCTACGCTTCCTGCAGAACAGGGATAGCCTGACTTCGGCCCTTCAGTTGTGGAACTTCAAGTCCCCTGAGACATTGCAAGACTCTGACAGCCACAGACATGACCAATCAGTGATCATCTCTTTATACAAAGACATCATTGGAGGAAGAAAAGATGAGATGGGTTGCGGTGGTTCTCAGCCTTGACAATGATGGGGAGGGTTCCCATTGGCTGACCCCATGTCTATGGACAGTTCTTGGGGTACCTGGCGGGTCTTTCCTACAGCCATTCCTCAATGCTGTTAGATGTTTCTGTACTGCATCAAATTCTGTCTGTTAGGACCACCTACTGCAGGGGCAGCCAAACTCCGGCCCTCCAGATGTGGTGGAACTACAAATCCTATGAGGCATTGCAAGATTCTCCCAGCCATGACTCCCGGAGAGAGATGCATCATGGGATTTGTAGTTTCACCACAGCTGGGGGGCCGGAGTTTGGCTACCCCTGACCTACTGTGTCAGAATTAAATTTCACATTACGTGACATGTTCTATAATCCCGTTCTCCATTAAACCCGACTCGTATATAAAGACGACCTGCGCGGAATGGACATTCACTCCGAGGTTCCACTGCAAGCTGTCGGGAATAGGCGTTTGTAAGAGTCTGAATCTCTAAACTGATATGCAACCTTAACTTTCATGGCCCAATCACAGGATTGCGGCACATTGGACTGCCAACACACTTGGGTGGTGCATGCATCATTCCTGGCAGTCAGTAAGTTGCCACGCATTGCACTGCAACGCACGTCTGCCAGCGAGCTGCATGGGATGCCATTCAGGATAAATGGCTGCAATGCATGTGCAACGTGATCATGTGACTGGGCCCTGAGGGATAGTAGTCAGAGCAGCAGTGGAATGGAACACGACCTCCTTCTCAAGCATCAAAACAGTCTGAGCTGCTGGAGGGTTTACAAGTGTCAGTACACAAAGTTCACAGACCCTTCAGATGTTTCCAATGTGATCCTGACTGCACCTGTGTTGTGGCCATTTTTAAAGTACTGAGAGACTGACAGAGAGGGATCAGCCTAACAGTTTGATACTTCGTCCCTGACCGGGAGAGAATACAAACCTAGGCATTTCATCACTTAAAGGTAAGGGAGACAAAATGCTCAAGACAAGGAATCCCTATTCATGTCTATGTCCACTGTTGACACCTGAGCATTTTGTCTCACCTAGGTGTGGAAAGGCTTCATTATAACAATATAAAGGGTGGTCATTGAGATACAAAAAATGCACATTTGTGAGTGTTTACATTAAAAACTCAGCCGACCCCTTCCTGTCATGCTTTTGTCTTTAAAAAAAATATGAAGGTACATTTTTAGTAATCTCAATCACCTCCCTTAAATGAGTGTGACAGTGCAGCCTGACTACTAAAGGAGTGCTTGTTTTCTTATTATTTACCTGTATTCTCTCCCTGTTAGAGAAGAATATCAGATTTTTAGCCCAGAAGTGTTTTCTGAATTTGAGGAAGTAGTACAGTGTCTTTAAAGCTGACCTTGCAGTAAAATGCCCCCCCCCAAAACCCCCCCCCCCCCCAATCATAGATAGCTGCTTAGTGAAAAACCGTAGGAAGGAATACTTAATAAATGTACTTACCTTTCCCTCTGCTTTTGTACTTTCGGGGGAACGGTGCTGCCATTGAAAACCTTAACAATGCAGAGTAGCCCAAATCTCATAAATTGACACTGCAGAGCAGAGCAGGGGCATCTTCTTGTATGGTGCAGGCTACTCTGCATTCCCCAAAATCTCACTGGAAGGAGCTCCATGTAGTCCTTGTCTAGGTGCCAGGGGCAGAGGTCACGGGTAAGGTAAGTTTGTGTCATAAAAAGCTTTTCCCCCTAAAGTTTGATTTCTTTCTTTTTCGAAACGGCTATTAATGATGGGGTGACGCACATATATTCGGCAGACCACTTCGTGCCGAATTCCATACAAAAAAATACATTAGAATACATTAGTGATGAGGATCTCTATGAATGGAGGAGGGTTGTAAAGGACGGAATCTCCCTTTGTCCATTCACAGAATACATTAGTGATAAAGGCCCGCTTTAAAGAAGAACTCCAGGCAAAGAAAGAACTGACCTTTGCAGTGGGGCTACCCCTGTACTGCGAGGGTTAAATGCTCATTTTGGCTAGGGCACCCAAAGCTGTATTACTTACATGATCCCGACTCCTGCGGCAGTCAGCGCTCACCTCTCTGTTCCTCCGCTCTGGCTTTGGAATGTCCTTTGGCGTCCTCAGGTCTAATGCAGATCGATGGCCCTCCATAAGACATTATAATGTCAGCGGTCTTTGGACCACCAGTAA